CTCTAGGCTATCCAGCCCCTCTTTGGGTCCCTGCTCTTTCCAGGTTGGTGCCCCCGTTGGAGAGGGATTGCTGCCTGGGGAGAGTGGGACACGCTGGCGTGATGCTAATAACATCCTGTGCTCAGGGAGCTCTGCCTGGGATGAATCTTCCAAAGCAGAATGAGGTTTGTGCACGGTCACAATCTCTTAGCAAAACTGGGTGTTGTGTATTGAAAGAGAGAACAGAAACTTTCCCTGTGCACGTCTGTGCCATTGTCTTCAGACCTCTGAGCTAGCGCCATCCGCTTAGACACAACCCGTTCCACACCGGAAAGTAACTAGCCCTTACTTGTCCTTTAAAACGTGTGTTCCAGAGCGCAGAACCAGCAAATGAGGCTGCTCACTTTGCTCTGTGAGGTTTTATGTACTGTCTGATTATAGCAGCAAATTGGACTGGTGGTTTGTCTTGTATGTGGTGCTCTGTACCGATGTGGCTGCACTCGGTTAGGCACGCTGCACTGGTGCGAACAGTTGCGTGTGTTTGGATGGGGTTCCTGCAGCATAGACAAGGTCGGAGTGTGGAATTTAGAGACTTCCCCTTCCTCCTAATGACCCCGTTGGCCATTCGAAGGAGGCCTTGCGTTTCTACCCTCTAACTCTGTGGGATTGTAGCAGTGGCAAGGTGCTGGAGTTTGATTGCTGCAAGTGAAATAGGCTACTCACAGAACAGCTCTCCCGCCAGCACCTCTGTCAGGACATGGGAAGTCTGTCTTCAGGGCTGTGTCGACGCTGAGCATTGGTGCAGTAAGCGTCTGTGCAGTCTTACTACAGTGATTTGGGATAGGCAGATTAGCACTGTTGTCTGGAGCTGCTTGAGCAAAGGCAGGCAGGTGGCTGGTGTACCTTAGTACAGCTGCACTGAAGGTAGGCTAAGAGTGGGGAACCTGTACAATTCTCAGTGTGGGCACCATCTGAGTGCAAGGGGCTTGCTGCTTCTGCCTCTGGCCCACCCGTCTGCAGAAACTCCCCATGTTGTCAATGTGGCACTAATTGTGATGGGTTTGCTTGTGGGGCGAGCCCAGTGATCACTGTAGTGTGTGCTCAGTCACTAGTAGGGATGTGAAAGTGTAACCGTGCAGACGGCTAACCGACGAGCCTGAGCTCATCGTTTAACGTTCAGTTACACGCGGGAAGCCGCCTGTCCCTGCCCCGCTGGGGTGGAGGTGGGGCTGCGGGGCTTGGGCTGGTGGCCTGGAAGAGAAGGACCGTAACCCATTACTCAGTTGAGTCTAAATTTAAAGGACGTCTCTTCTTTGCTTTGTTAAATTGCTCTTGTAATTAGTCTGCTCTTGATCTCGTTTAGATTTGATTGTGCTTTGCAGTAGACAGATCATGCCCCCTGTTCTGTGGTGGGTGGGGCTTCCTTTCTACCTTGCTTGTCCCTGTTGAATACTTTGCTGTCACAGCATCTTCTTAGGAGAAAGGCATGTGACATTTCACAGAGCAGCCAATAAAGGTTTCAGTAACAACAAAGCCACTTCATAGCGGAGATGGCAGAAAGCCTGAATAGAATTGGGAACATGCCGCTACTGGCGGCGGAGTCTCCATAGCAAAGCAATTCCCGAGGGAACGGCATCTGTTGTTCTGTAGTACTTCCTGATTCACCTCCCATGACCTAGCAATCCATCACCACAGGCAACTCTGTTCTCTCCCCGCTCGCTTCTGGAGGTGGCCAGGGTGGCTATCCTGGAGACGCCTGAGAGGCCGGGAAGGAAGATGCCACCCAAGACGTGCTGCTTGCTGCTAGTGATTTTTCTCTCCATTGGAAGCAGAAACTTCCATTTCTGCAGGATTGGCTGGCTTCCTTATGGTGTGACAGGAGAAAATCTTGGTGGGCCGATGCTTTTGATTGGCATGATATGCTGACAAGTGGAAGGGGAAATGGGGCACTGTGGGTCTAGGCTACGTGGAAAGCTACTTCTAACCTGAACCTAGCCAGCCTTCCACACAGGAACTTCAGAAAGGGAGACAGTGAACCTGGAATCCACTTGCAAGTTCAACACTTAACTTAGGACTGACAAACGATCTCAGCTGGTTAGCACATTACAAAGGCCATTTCCCCTCTCTGAATTAGGGATGTAATAGTGTAGTTGATTACCCGATTAACCAATAAGCAAAAGTTTATAGGATGTTACAGACTACACTCATTTCCCTTCCCCTCCCGCCCCTGCATCCCCACCATTAAATTTTCTAGCAGGCAGGCGAGCAGCCCAGCTTAGTCCTGTTGTGGCTCTGAGTTTTTAAAGTGTATTAGGAGCCAGGTGGGCAGGCAGCCTGGCTCAGTTCCTGGACCCAGCACAAACCGGAACCCAGACCCCTGCCCCCTGGACAGGGGCTGCTGCCACTCCACACTGCTGCCTCTTTATCAGAGGCAGCAGCACAGGGTGACAGGCAGCGGGTCCACAAGGGGAGCTGGTTTTTAAACTGGCTCCCCTCACAGGCTAGCTGCTGCCGGCCTTGCCCCTGGGGGAGATAGAATAGTCGACTAACCAATGAGATTACTCGACTATTCAATTAACCGATATTTAACATCCCTACTGGATAGTCACATCTCCAGACCACATGCTGGCACCCTGCCTCTGCCATGCTGACCTCATAGCAATTAAACGAATGGGCTAATGTCACACCTAATCAAGACAAGGCCATGGAATTGCTCCATGCTTGTACCTTTCTTCCTCCTAGCTCTCCGGCCAGCTGGCCACTGAGAAGGGGGGTTGCGTCTGGTCTCTGATGCAGACTTTCTGCTTCTTGGCTTAGGCAGCTTCTCTGAGCGTGGTGGTCTGGATTGAGCATGCATAGTGAGTGGGAAGGACAAATCCTCCCCTTTTCTCAGGCCCATATCTCTGTTTGCTTAACAGTGAAGAGAACAGAGAGAATTGCGTGTTTCGTTACAGTGGCTGGAACTGTTGGAAGCTTGCAGAGCAGGACACCCACCGCCCCACCTACTTATCAGCCTGGCAGAGTCTGACTTTTCTGGGAGGTTGGGGGTAATCTCGTTCCAGTCCAGAGCTGCTTTGTGTCTTACTCACCCAGGACAGCGGCGACTGAAGGTGGAATCCCAACTGACATGTGGCCAGTAGGGATTCCTAGCTTGTGAAATAGATGGTTAGAATGGCTGTTGGGGTAAGAATTTGTAGGATTAGCTGGTGCCTGTTTATTTTGGCTCAGTAACTGACTTTGATGCGACTGTGGTGACGTGCAGCCACTAAAATCCTACTTTTTACACTTCAGAGACGCTCTCCTTGTTTTGTCAACCTCGGGGGGCCCAGCCACTGTGCGTGTATCTCCTTGACAAAGGGCGAACTTACAAACTTTCTCCTTGTAAGACGTTTTGAGTCAGACTGATTTATTTGGGGCTGTGATCCTGGGTGCTGTCAACGGCCTTATGGCGGAGTCCTCTCTGCTGAGCTGGTTTAGGGGCTGTTAGCCCAGCTGTGGGCCTTGGCGGGGGCGGGGAGGGGGGGCCCAGCCACTGTGCGTGTATCTCCTTGACAAAGGGCGAACTTACAAACTTTCTCCTTGTAAGACGTTTTGAGTCAGACTGATTTATTTGGGGCTGTGATCCTGGGTGCTGTCAACGGCCTTATGGCGGAGTCCTCTCTGCTGAGCTGGTTTAGGGGCTGTTAGCCCAGCTGTGGGCCTTGGCGGGGGCGGGGAGACCAGAGTTTCTGGCGCAGCAGGACAGGGCTGTGGGCAGGGAGGCAGGCTCAGTGGCATGACCCACACACTGGGTGACAACCCCCAGGGGATCCCTGTGTTTGGACCAGTCACAGATGCGTGTCTCTGTATAAACATTTTCTGCGAGACGACAGTGATATCAGCACATGGCTCTGTGTCCTGCCTGACTCCTTCCTCCCTCCCCCTTTCTGCAGGGCTCAGCTGCCCTGCTCCCCTTTCCCTGGCCGGGGGGGGGGGGCGTAGTGAGAGGGGGCAGGAGAGGCAAGAGGCAGGACAGCCTCTGGGCCGAGGGGGAAGAGCAGGGGGTGGGGAAGCCTTGGATCCTCCTGGGGGGGAGAAAGCCGAGCTTCCTGCCTGGCTCATGACACACTTTCAATGCAGAGCTGTAGCAGGAGTAGTTCTGGACCCAGTGCGAGCCAGAACTGAGCTGGGCTGCTGGCCAGCCTGCTAAAAAATGTCCTGGCTAGGGCGGGGGAGGGAAACGTGCAATCTGTAGCATTAGCCTATAAGCTTTGCTAATCGGTTAATGTGCTAATCGACTCCACTATTACTTCCCTAACCCCACCCCCACTGTCTTTTGGGAGCGTACCTGGTGGGGTCGTATCCTTCGCTCTACGTCGGATTGTTTCTGCCCCTTCCATGACCCTGTCTGTGCTGACGGGATGGGAAAGTTTAACTGTGCTAAACGGGCTTATCCGTTCCTGTTCACGGTTACACCCAGGCTCCCGCCCTACTCCTGGGGAGCTGGCTGCCACCCCACACTGCTATGTATCCGCTCCCAGGGAGCCTTCGTATCGGAGGCAGCAGCGTGGTGGGCACACGGGAGCCTGTACGCATGGGGAGCCGGCTTAAAAGCCTCCTCCCGGTGGGCACCAGCTCCCAGGGTGCCCACTGCAGCACCACAATTCAGTGGTTACACGGTTACTACACGACACACGTTAACATCCCTAACTTAGACCTTGCCTTGGATTGTAAGCGCTCCAGTACAGGAACTGTCGACTGTTTCTACAGTGTCCAGCACAATGGGGCTTCCTGCTTGGCTGCTGCTTGGGGACTACCACCATAAAATGGATTGGTAATGCGGAGTGAGAACACTCCAGGGTGCGTGGCACAGGCACAGTCTACTGCAGGGACAATCCCTGGGGCTGGGTGGGGAGCAGAGCTGGCTTTGGACTTGGAGCATTTCAGACAGGAGCTGTTTGTGTAGATGCAGAGATTGCAGGTGGAATCCAGGCTAGCTGGCCCGGGCCTGAGGGGTGCTCTGCTGCATGTCGGCGTGTTCAGCTAGAGAGTCAGTTTCAACATGTTGGCAGCGAAATATCAATTCTTGGTTTCTCTTGTCCAGACTGGAGTTTCTTTGGCTCTTAGAGCCGTCACTGAGCAGGACCTAAGCTCCAGAGCTGTGGCATTCTCAGTACACGCAACAGTGACGGACCAGATCTCTCCTTCTCTCCCCCCCAGTGACTTGGTTTTGAGGGTACAATTGAACCACCAGCTCTCGAAATCCGTTCTGCTCTGCCCAGGCGGTGAAGGGACTCGGTAACGCTGCTTGCTGCCGCCCCTCTGGGAGTGGCCGTTCTTGTGGGCTGCTAGCCTGTCTTCAGCGGCATCCGCCCAGGACAGCGCTCGTATGATAAATGGAACTTTTCTGAGAGATGTTCAGTTCCCTGGCCAGCTTCCCAGTTCCTTGCCTCTCCCATTAGTGAGACTACGCTGCTGCAGGCAGGCTGACAGCTGAGACCTGCTCATCACGCCGTAGCTGGGATGAAGGCAAAGAGTGCTCGTCCTTCTAGTTCTGGGCGCTCGGTAGCCTCTGCCTTAGCCCCACTGCCCAGTTTCCAGATCAGGTAGCAGCCTCCCCATCTCTGGAGGCCCTCAGCTCGCGTACACCTTGTCTTCAGCCTCAGCGCAGACGGCTGTCCCTGCCACCTGTGCTACTCGGCTTCAATGGCAGGGGAGCTGTGCCGTTCTGAACACCACGGTTAGCGGGGCCTGGGTCTGATCATGGCAGGTGTTCTGTCCCTGGGCTTGTCCTCGGTGCTGAGGGTCTCTTGACTGTTCCTCTGCAGAACATTGTCTCGAAGAACTCCATGCAGTACCGAGGGAACTCGCAGCATGATGCCCAGGAGTTCTTGCTCTGGCTGTTGGACAGAGTTCACGAAGACCTCAACAATGTAGTGAAATCCAGTGGCAGATCTCCGCTGAAGGTAAGGCAAATCCAGCAGGGCCGTGGCTGCTGTAGTGCTTCCATGGAAGCTTTCTGCCTTAGCGTCCCAGCGGGAGATCTGTGCTGTAACACACGGGGGCCAAAGGGCTGTGCCTGGCCCCTGGGGCCGCAAAGAGCCTTCTCTGGCAATGCGGGGAAGGTGTGAACCAGCACAGCCCAGTGTGAATGGTGCCACCTGACTCTGCTGTCCATGAAGTTGGGCAGCGTAATGCTATGCCAGCTGTATCCAGCACACATGGCTACCCAGGTGCTCTGTCCCCTCTGGACCACTCACAGGAACCAAAAGCACTTGCCATCTCAAGTACTGGCCTTGTCGTGGTGTGTGTGGCTCAGGAGAGCTAGCTGGGCTCCTCCCCGCCGAGCTGTATGGAACTGGGCTGGCTCTCCTGGGCACCGTGGCATGTCTCCTTTGGAATTGCTTTTCCGTTTCAGCCCCCCGTGGAAGATGCTGCGCTGCTTGAGGCCCCAGGCTTTCCAGTCAGCAGCACTTTCGTACAGGAACTCTTTCAAGCCCAGTACAGGTACCGTAACTTTCAGCCTTTCTCCTGAGGGGTTGATGTGCATGGCTTCAACCACCATAAGGGTCTTGAACCCTGGTGGCAGAGCTAGGTGCAGTGTGGCGGGGGGAAGAGGTGGCAGGCAAGTAACCCTCTGCAGCCCTCCATTTTGTTTACTGTGCTGCTGCATTGCTATGCTCCACTCAGGCCAGGTCCACGCTATGGCCGAAGCTTGGCTTCAGGTTCACAATTCCAGCTGTGTGAAACAGCTGGAGTCAGCATGCCTTAGCCGAGCTTTGGCGCTGCCTGTGCAACAGGGTCGATAGGGAAGTTGGCAGCAGCGTTTCTCCCTTACTCCTTGTGAGGAAAAACTTAAACAACCAGTAGTCCAGCGCAGGACTAACGGAGACTAGCACAACCTGTAGAGGGGTCGTGAGCTTTCGTGGGCACAAGCCACTTCAGGCGAGTAGGAGTTCCAGCGTCCACGGAGGCACCCCCAGCGATCGATTTAACGGTTTTTACTGCTGCAAGGATGCTCTTCTGGGAAGTGAAGACGTGGCCTTAGTCACGCCGTGGCTGCGTCTCCCTCTGGGAAACGAAATGTGACCGAAGAGCTCTTGCTCCGCAGGGGAGCAGTGGCTAGCTTGATGGCCCTAACATTCTCTGTCACTTCAGTGGGCCGTTTACATTTTGTTCCCCTCTCGTCAGGAAATTGGGAGTGCTTGTTTGCAGCCTTCCCCTCCAGGGGTGTCCAGCCTAACCGGTCAGGGAGCAGAAGCGTGGGCCACGATTTCACGTGCCTGAGACCCTCTTGGGCTGGTGGCAGGAGCCGGAGGCATGCTGTGGCTGGGCGCGTTTCGAGTCCCACACAAGCTTGTAGTAATTATCGTTATGCTAATGAGGAAGCCCTCGAGCAGAGAAGTGCTGTGCTTAGTCCGCCACTGCCCCTTGTTCGTGGGAGCTACCACAGCATTCCAAGGGGGGGGAGAATAGGCCATCTTCCAAAGCCTCCCGGCAGCACTGCAGCCAGCCAGGCTGAATGGGCAAACGGTCTTCCCAGCGCGCCGCTGCAGCTGCTCGGTGGCAGAGAAGCCTTGGGGACTTGCAGCACCCTGGCCAAGGCCGAGTGGCTGTGGGAGCGTGAGGAGTTGCCTTCCTTTCCGAGGGAGATGGAGGCCCACGTAGTGCTGTTTGCTCCTCCGCGTGTCTGGAGGAGCTTAGTCAAACGGGGCAAGGTGTTCATGTCCCTCAGTGGAGGCAGGGTGGAATAGCCTGCCATGCCCTGTAATAACTGAGCTCAGAGATTAATTATCACGCGAGCACCTGGGAATTAGGCACCTTTCATCTACAACAAGGGTTTGTCTGCAAAACCTGTGGCGCCCTGCTGGGGGGAGGGGGGCGAAGGGGCCTGTGAGGAGGGAACAGCAGGTCACTTGTCTGGGTGTTTGCTTGTCCCTAGTCAAATGAGATGTAACCTCACCCCTCCTATTTTTACTAGGTCCTCTCTGACGTGCCCGCACTGTCAGAAGCAGAGTAACACCTTTGACCCTTTCCTCTGCATCTCTCTGCCAATTCCTCTGCCGCATACACGGTAATGTGCTGCTCTGTGCCTTGATGTTAAAATGTTGGGACTTTCCCAGTGCTTGGTAGCATGGCAAATCTGAATATGGAAGAGACTGAGAACCAATGGGGGCTGAATTGAAAGGGCCAGGAGAGCTGTGTTTTGCAGGGAACCCCCAAATGATGCTGAAAAGAGAAGAGCTATGCAGGAACCAGAGTGCTGCTTCTCTCAGAATTCCAGAAGTCTCTCAATGATCCAACCAGTTAAGCAGCAGTTCTGCAGAAAAGGCCCTGGGGGTTACAGTGGATGAGAAGCTGGATAAGAGTCAACAGTGTGTCCTTGTAGCCAAGAAGGCTAATGGCATATTAGGTTGCATTAAGAGGAGCATTGCCAGCAGATCCAGAGATGTCATTATTCCCCTTTATTCGGCTCTGGTGAGGCCACATCTGGAGTATTGTGTCCAGTTCTGGGGCCCCCACTACAAAAAGGATGTGGATGCATTGGAGAGGGTCCAGCGGAGGGCAACCAAAATGATTAGGGGTCTGGAGCATATGACCTACGAGGAGAGGCTGAGGGACTTGGGTCTGTTTAG